CTCACCTTCTGCATCGTTTACAGTGTACATGTAATAGTTTTATTGCATATCATTCAATAAAGCTCACCTTCTGCATCGTTTACAGTGTACATGTAATAGTTTTATTGCATATCATTCAATAAAGCTCACCTTCTGCATCGTTTACAGTGTACATGTAATACTTTTATTGCATATCATTCAATAAAGCTCACCTTCTGCATCGTTTACAGTGTACATGTTAGTTTTATTGCATATCATTCAATAAAGCTCACCTTCTGCATCATTTACAGTGTACATGTAATAGTTTTATTGCACATCATTCAATAAAGCTCACCTTCTGCATCGTTTACAGTGTACATGCAATAATTTCGTGACAAAAAAAATGTTTCATTACTTTTCGATTACTTAGATGTTTAGCAGAACTTTTAAGTTTCTGTGGTACAGCTTATAAAATCAAGCCCCTTCGTACCCAACTGTGCACATATGATATTTAAGTAAAATATGAATTTTTTTATCACTTCGACCCAACAGGATTTTTGTAACAGTATATCAATATATCTGGTTTGTTTGTTTTTTCTTCTTATTTACTTCACTCGTGAAATTTGATATAATTGGACAATTCTTGGAAGAGGAAAGGAAGCTTTTTCAGTTGCATCATACATAACAAGCAGTAGAGATTACAGTACATGGACATGTTATTCAAAGAAAAATAGTGACGACACACACTGATGTACAAATTTTGCGTGTGTTTACACAAAATACCACTATAATAAATACATTTCTGAATGCCAAACTGTTGCTTAATGCACAAACACACACAAGTTTCTAGGTAAATACTAATTAATTTTATTCTAAATATTCAACAAAGTATTTAGAAGTTCTCAGGTAATATGCACGTACGAGACTGGGTGTTCCTGTAAACACTTGGTTAACTTATGCATCTTAAAATGTTATTATATAACATGCAAGACATACCGGAAAATACTATTAAAAACCTACTGATAAATACTGAACTTTGTGGCCACGATAAAAGGTGGAACAAAAGAAAACTAATAATAAACATATAAAAAGTATTGATACGACAATCTTACACTAAGTATTTATCAACTTCAAATATATTTTGAATCTAGGTAATGTTTATTACTGATTGTTACTTTCATAACACTGAAAATATTGTATGGAATTTCACTATTTTTCATTTTGGTTTATTGTTTATTAATATTATTTTATTATAGAGATTGCTTTACATTATTAGTATAATATACATGTATTTAGGACTAACCTAAATTTCCTAAGCTGCCTAAACCGCATGAGATATTACAAGAATTACGGCCGAAAATGTCGTTAACAGCTAGGGTACTAAACAAAGCATTTTAATCTTTATAAGCAGAAACGTTAAATTTTAGTTTCGCTCTACATATATAACTTGTTCTGATCGAAAGTTAACACTAATTAAAACTAATGAGTTAGGTACAATCATCGTAACTCCGTTGTTTTTGAACATTTCTTTTATTATCATAAGCAATTTACCTTTTATTTTTGATAAAACTATGATATTTCATCAAATATTGTTTAGTTTACACATTAAAAGAAGTTAAGCATTAGCTGATATTCCTAACACTAACAATAGCGTCAACAAACAACAAGAGGCATTTCTTACAAGTGTTTGTGATTACTGATGAGTTGGTTGCAACAAAACTGTTCCTACAATGATTACTAAAAGTCCATTACTTGAATAAGTAATACTGTGAGCAGTTTTATTTTATATTAAAATCTTAGGATACATACTAAAGTAACAGCTTGCAAGAATTGAATTGACACATTTGAAATTATCAAGCTATGAAATGTAGGTTCTACTAACAACATAATGTTTCATATTGTGACTTTTATAAATAAAAACAAACATTTAATAAGTAAATTTAGAACCCACACAAAACAAACATGTTTAGGTAAGAAGCAGCTTCTACAATGGATATATGACAATATTATACAGACCCAAACAAGGAATGAAAAAAGTATTTACAGCAAGACGTTACCATAAATATACTAATAAAAAGGATCAGTTTACAGCAAGATGTTACCACAAATATACTAACAAAAAGGACTAGTTTACAGCAAGATGTTACCACAAATATACTAACAAAAAGGACTAGTTTACAGCAAGACGTTACCATAAATATACTAACAAAAAGGACTAGTTTACAGCAAGATGTTACCACAAATATACTAACAAAAAGGACTGGTTTACGGCAAGATGTTACCACAAATATACTAACAAAAAGGACTGGTTTACAGCAAGATGTTACCACAAATATACTAACAAAAACGACTAGCTTACAGCAAGATGTTACCACAAATATACTAACAAAAAGGACTAGTTTACGGCAAGATGTTACCACAAATATACTAACAAAAAGGACTGGTTTACGGCAAGATGTTACCACAAATATACTAACAAAACGGACTAGTTTACAGCAAGATGTCACCACAAATATACTAACAAAAAGGACTAGTTTACAGCAAGATGTCACCACAAATATACTAACAAAAGGACTAGTTTACAGCAAGATGTCACCACACATATACTAACAAAAAGGACTAGTTTACAGCAAGATGTTACCACAAATATACTAACAAAAAGGACTAGTTTACAGTAAATGTCCAAATCAATGCTAATTTCTCACTCTCCTAAGGAACAAACAGTTTGAAAAATCTCCTTGTCCTACACAATCACTTAGATACTGCTTATTGCAGAAAGCACATTAACCATTGGAGACAATGACGAAGAGCAACTGCCGTGTAGTTTTATAAAATTAAAAATACCAAAATAGATGGCTACATGTCAACATTTTAAAATGTGCTTTGGTTGGTATGTAGTATCTAACCCCCTACAAGTGAAGGTGCACAAGAATATATAACAATATGTCAGCCACCCTACATCTACCATATCCACTGCTGCTTAGGCCTTTCACTCTGTATCAGGACTCATCAGACCAGCTGGGACCAAAAACACAATATGCTAATGGTGCTTTATTAACGTATGTCTTTGTAAAATGAAGACAATTGAGTTGAGATATTATTTCACTTAACTTTGATATTATGATTTTTGTATATCAGATTATATCCAAATAATGCATTCTCCACTACAACTTAGTCATTTTTAAAACTAATAAAAATCCTCAACTTCATAACTCATACAAGATTAGAATATTATCATCTGTATCTTTTTGTAACTTAAAAATACTGAAAACTTTATGGAGAAAGAAAATGATACAATTAAAAAATGGATTGTTTCAAAGATATGCCATAACTTTCATAAAGTCATGTCAATCTGCCAGATTACTCTGCAGAGTTTTTTTTAAAAACAAATCTCTGGTTTTCATTTAACTTCAAGTACAAGCAAAAAATGAATGTTTTTATAAATTCTATTTTTTGGGACCAAGATAAAAAAATAATGGTTTGTGACAGCACCATTTAAAGTATTTGTTTGCCATGCAAGAGTTGAACAAATCATGTTAAAATTATGAGAAAATACAGCCTGAAACAATTCTTAATTCAAGTATGTGAATTCTAAGAACTTATTTTAACATCTTTACAATTACTGCAAAAATAAGCTTACAGATTTCAAATAATACCTTGTTATGATTAAATTTAACAAAACAACCAATTTTAAAAACAGGATGTTAATTAAGGAAACCTAATGAAACTTTAAAGCCTTCTATCACTGTTACTGTTAGTTTCTTATTTATAAGTTTATAATCTTCATTAATACTAGCAAGCTTTAAACCTACATATTCAATATTTAAAAACGGTTTAATATATATACACACACAGAGATATATATACACACACAGATATATATATAAAAACACGAATACTAGCAAACTGAATAATTATTTTTCAGTTTTCTTTTTATTACTGTTAATACATTACATATAAAAATCAGCGAACTGTACATTTTTTGTGAAGATATAAATCACACCTAACTGCAAATGCAAGGCAGTCTTGTTTACGCATCTTACGATTTAATCGCCATTAAAAAGATAAAGTGTTTAAATTATAATTCATAAACTAATATTATCATTATTAAGATTTAGTTTAAAGAAGTCTACAGTTATAACAAAGTTATATCTAGATTTGTCGATATTATAACAATTAGCATATCAAATATTGACGGTAAAACTAAAACGACAGTAGTCATACAATAAAAAAATAACGGAAAATGTTTCTTAAACTTCAAAATTTCAGTCTAGTTTCCTAATCAATAACTTAATCCGTCCACTATATGAATACATATAATAATTTGAATGTAAATTTCTTGAAGAAGTGCAACTTAAACTTGAAGAAGTTAAAATACATTACAACTTCTAGTTAAACTTAAACTAAACTTTAAAATTAAACTTAATGTCACAGTATAGAACATTTTGAATTTGTCATATAACTTAAACAGACAAAATAAAAGTATACTCACGTTGATTTTCAAACAGTCCTCTATGGCTTTCAGTGCTGAATCTGTTAATTTTACAAATATTAATGAGTTAGAACTGGAATAAGTTCCCTGTGAAAAAAGACCATATTCCTGCCCTTCCACGAGCACCGCCATTTTAGTCTTTCTTGCAGTACATTCTTCTGCATGTGCTCATGTATGTATATTACCCAAAAGGCTTTGCAAGTAGGCTAGCAGTCGCAGAAGCAACATAAACAGGGACAGGAGATCGCAGATATGACGTCACTCCAGTTCAGCTTAACAACTGAAAACATGAGTTTAAAAACTTGACTTACCTAGTTGAGAAACCTTTTGAAACACAAATAGCGTTATTAATAACTTGTTAACTATTAGCTCACTCATAATATTAAGCAATCAGAATATATTCTATATTTTTAAATGACGAAAAATTGTTTTCTGTACAAGTACCTAAATTTGACTTGCTATAAACGATACTAAATGCTTGTTTCTAGCATTTGTTGTTATTTTCTTATCATAATCAGCTGTATGTATACAGATAGATATTAAGTTCAAGTAACTTGTATGGGGTTCTGCATTATTTGATCTTTATAGTTAACTAGAATTGTCACTATTATCTGACATAATCGATGATCTTTCGATAGTATCAAATTTATCAAATCCGTGGTTTATCAGTTATACGTATTCCTAGGACGATTGCTCCCTAATTTTTCCATTTGCCCCTACACCATTTCCCAAGGACACGAGCTGAATCTCTGATTGGACGAGCCCTCATCAGTGAATTGTCAAAAATAATTTAAGTTATCTAAACATTAGAATTCTTAGTTAATTCACTAATTAGATTTCCTGAAAGCTTCTTTGCGAATCGCATCCTCCCAAAAGATATCCTTTATAAGCGAAACTTAATCTCGTGGCGTTCAACTTCGACTACTTATCATACAACGACATCTACCCAATATTTTAGGAGGCCATTGAACTTCCATTCCCAAGGTTGGGCAAATAATTTTCCTTAATTTTAATAAATCGCTTTCTTCAGAGCAAGAAACATAAACTTACATCGCTCTAATTACTGAAATAGCTATGAATTTCACCATTCCATGATTAATTTAGAATATATGGTAATCAGATATATTCACGTACGTTTTTCCGCACTTTCGCGCACGTCTTCTGCATGTAGTATGACATTCTTGGTAACTGAATGTCTAAAGGTCATAAACACGTACTAATCCCTTTGCTCATGTAAAGGTTACATACATCAATTGCTAGAAAGTAAGATCACTTTGGTCCCGTGTCTATTCTCCCCACGGGAGGGTAAGATACTTATACAAAGTTTTTTTCTCTCTGTGAATATTATATAGAATGGTCGATAACAAATGATGTGTTGGATTCTGGTATATCAAACTTTATCTTTTGGTTTGGGAATATCAGAATTCCACTATTGACGTTTAGAAAAAAAACAAAAAACAAGAGGGAATCCTCAGTAGCCGCGGTTGTGATTAGATCTCAAATCAGTCAAGAGATGGAGCTAAAGGTTTGTACTTGGAAAAATCTCAGAGCCATTCTATGAGCCGCTATGCTGCAGCCCATTATCCCAGCAGCCTGTATAGACAACGCACGCGCAGAGTATGAAGATCTATTTTATTCGTTCACTTTCGTTGATTCTTTCCTGTACTGTCAGAGTTCGATTCTAGCTAAGCTACACAAAGGCTGTGGTGTTCTCAAACTCACTTCCTCTGAGTGATTGGGTAAGATAACAGGAAGCTCGGCAAAGAATGTTTTGCAGAGTTTAAATGAATTATCTTGAGTTGACCTGGGTTGTGAGAAATAAAGACTCGGGATAAAATGTAAAACAGTGTGAAAATAATCTTTATTTAATACACAATAAAATTTAGTAGTGTATAGCGAGGAGAGCACTTTTACTTTGAGAGGTTGAAAGTTTTCAGAAATATCTGTGAAGTCAATTCTTTTAAACT